GTGTGTGTGTGGGTGGGTGTGTGGGGCGGGGGGGGGGAGGTCACCTTTCCCCTACCTTACCCTACCTCACCGTACCTTACCTTAGGCGCGTCAAGGGCGTCGAGCTGCAGCGCGACCGGCGCCGCTTGCCGACGCGTCTCCCCTCCTAACTCACTCACCGACCAGTCCATTCGGTGACGGGCGCAGGCACCGCGTGCTGATGCTGCTCTTCTCGACGCGAGAGCTGCCCGCCGACAGCGGCGAGCCCGCGGATGCGTTGCACCCGCCGTCGCGCCAGGTCGATAGACAGAGAGCTGAGAGGTGGAGTGCACACCAAGGCCACGAGTCGACAAGAGATTGCTAGCGAGACGGAGAGCCGGTCATATCGAGGTCATACTCTCGCGCACACACAGACACATCCCCTTGCCTGACCACAGGTCGAGTGCGGCAACGCGGCGGCGACGCGACTCGTGTACGACGCGATCCAGACGGGCCGCGCGCTGCACGGCGAGAGGGAGGCGATGCTGCAGCTCGCGGCGAGTAGCGGCCCTTGAGATGCCGCGCAGCTGCCTAGTCCGGCGTGCGCGACACGCACCTCCTTGCCGTCCGTAATAATGGCAAGGGGCAGGGGTGCCAAGTCTCGTGTCTTCTCGTGGCAAGGGGGGGGGGGAGCCCTCCTGTTGAGATATCGATGTGTAACTGTACGCCCAGGCAAGAAAGGCCTGTAAAATATGTTTCCCACACGCCGCCAGAATCAAGGATGGGATACCTAGAAGCGGTCAGCCGAGATGGCCGAGCGCTTTGAGGGAGGCGGCCGCCTCGCCCACAAACTTGAGCGGCGCCTCGAGCCGCTCGACGCCGAGGAGGGCGCACGCCTTGCGGTTGTCGGTCGCGGGCTTCTTCGGCTTCAGGGCAGCAACCTTCTCATCGGCCTTCCAGGCAGCGAGGTCGAGGCCGGCGCATGCTTCTGGCGCGGCCTCTCGTGCCAGCTCGACGAGCTCCAGCGTCGAGTACTGGTCGGTCGAGCAGACAAGGTAGCGCTCGCCCGCGGTCTCCGCCTTCTCGATGCGCGAGGTGAACGGCCGCGACGTCGGCCGCCGAGCAGAGCCCAAACGCCAACGGAATGACCTTGCCGCTGAGCATCATCTTCAGGTAGCCCATCGTCGACGACACGCTCTGGCCCTCGAGCACCGGGCCGAGGACGACGGCGGGGTGGACAGTCGTGACGCTGAACTTTTCCTTGTGCGCCTCGGCCAGCTCCCAAACCTTGGCCTCCGCCGCCGTCTTCGACTTGCTGTAGCCGGTTTCCGGGTTGTCATTCTTGTCGGCCTCGCACCATAGGTGGTCGGGGTCCTTGTCACGCTGAGTACCGCAGACCGAAGCCATCGTCGCCGTTACGACGACACGTTGCACAGAGCCCGACGCGGCTGCAAAGCGAAGAGCACGCTCGGTGCCGGACACAGCCTGCTCAATAATCTGGTCGTCGGACAGGCTCCATCGCCCGGAAGCTGCACGGGCGATGCGACGTGCATGAGTCCGACGCACCCGTCCATTGCGGCCAACCAGCCCTCGTCGCTCAGGAGGTCTGGCACACGCACGAGCGAGCAGCCCATCTTCTCTAGAATTTTGACCTTGTCGGCCGAGGGATCACGGACTGCCGCGCGCATCGAGTAACCACTCTTGCACAGCAGGCTGCACACATGGCCGCCGACCAGCCCGCTCGCGCCGGTGACAAGCACTGCTCCAGACGCTGGCGACAAGTTCGGCATGGCCTGGGTCGCCAAAGCGCGGTGCGAACTTTTTGCGGATACAAATAGGAGCGCACAGGTGAAACGCGTTGCTGGGACTCTTCTGGCCGGTGTTGCCAGCGTCGAATGCCTAAATTTCTTCTTTCAGTGTTAGGGCATGCTGCATGGCCGCGGCCGGAGGGGGGGGGGGGGGGAGGGGGGGAGGGAGGCGGAGGATGCAGAGGCGGAGGCGGCGGCGGCGGAAGAGGAGGAGGGGGAGAGTGAGGGGGAGGGGGAGCGGAGGCGGGGGCACCTGTGACGGCCCGCTACGAGAAGGGCGACTACCGGTTCGCGCGGGAGAAGAATTGCGACCTGCGTTTGCTCGACTTCGAGACGTTCGGCGGCTTCGGGGACGGCGTCCGCAAAATTCTTCGGCAGGCGGCGGACCAGCTGAGTAACAAACTTTCGCACGCTCAGCACCTCGATGAGGTCACATGGACCAAGTTCCCGCGAAGAACTCGGGCAGAGCGGCAACTGTGGCGGCAATTGGGCAACGCCAACGTCGCAACGATGCTGCGGATAAGGGCAGAGCAAGCGTGGGCACGCATTGGTCGGGTTCCATGCTGCAGCCGCGAGCCCCGCGCCGCAGCCGATGAAGAAGCTGCGGGCCGGCAGTAGCCACGTCGACCCGCCGCTGCGCATCGGGCAAAGCGCGAGCCCAGCAGTTCAGTCAGGCAAGCACGCTGCACCCACGACGGCGGCCTCGGGGCGCGCGCGACCGAACGCGCTTGCGGCGCCGCCACGCCGTCCTTTCACATCGCCGCCGGACCGCCCTCCCTCCTCCGCGACAGACGCCGCAAAGACGGCGCTTCTCGCCGCCGAAGCAACAGCAGCAGCTGTGGCAGCAGATCTTTACGTCGCTGGTGCACGCGGTGCGGACTCGCCGCAGTCTGGCGGGCGCTCGCCTCGCCCGGACCAGGCGGCCGAGCAGGCTGTGATCGCGGCCGAGGCGGATGATCGGGATGGGCTCGGGCGGGTGCCGCCTTGCGGCGCGCCGGCAAAGGAGCCTGCAGAGGCGGGGGCGATCGGCGAGGCGGCGGTGCTCGCACCTGCAGCTGACGCGCAGCTGCAGCATAGAGCGGAGGGCAAAACTAAAGGCACGGATGGTGGCTTCCGTCGGTTTCCATTGACCAAGATGTTTTGTCCACATACACTGACGTACGTCATACCACATCCATCCATCCAACCAAGAGAATGCAACTCAAGTTTTGATCGCTCACAGCTGGCTGACGTGTTGTTGAGTATCAGAGTATGATTCCTGTCTGCAGGTCTATTCACACCTCACGCGATCTTCCATGTCCAGACAGCGTCCAGACAGCGTCCAGACAGCGTCCAGACAGTGTCCAGACAGCGTCCAGACAGCAAAATCGGAGCGTCTAGACAGCTATTCAGACAGTAATAGCACTTGAGTGTACACAGCTGATTGAAGTAAAGGGGAGTGATGCAGCTGCCTGCCAGAGCAGAAAGATTCCTTAATTCTCTCCACTACAAAAAAAGTCCAGTGCGGAACCGAGATCATGGCCCCGAATGCCGTGCTCTCTAGGCAAGGTGCGGGAGCTCCACAAACCAGGTTAAATTCATAATACAAATTCGCAGTTCATATCCCAACCCAGGAGACATCTGTAACGGTAATGAATCATGTTTCAGAAACCAGTTAGTGTTTGCAGTTTTCTCAACAGAAGCCTTTTCCTTTGGTTTCTTTGCTCATCGCCTCGCTGGACTTTGAATTGTGAATTTGAGTCGTGAATTTGAACTCTGGCACCCTAAAGTTCTGCTGGCGTGCATGTGCATGCGCCATGTCCATGTCCATGTCCGTGCCCATGTCCATGTCCATGTCCATGTCCTGTCCATGTCCATTTCCATGTCCATGTCCATGTCCATGTCCATGTATAGCTCCTGCCGCACCGCAACAGGGACAGAAATCGTGCTCTCACGTGCGGTCCGGGCTTCTATGTTCTTTCAATCCCTACTTTACATCGACTCGGAGCGAGAAAGCTATGTCCATGTCCATGTGTGTCTATGTCCATGTCCATGTACATGCACATATCCATGTCCATGTCCATGTACATGCACATATCCATGTCCATGTCCATGTCCATGTCCATGCCCATGTCCATGCCCATGTCCATGTCCATGTCCATGTCCATGCCCATGTCCATGTCCATGTCCATGTCCATGTTGTCCGTGTCCATGTCCATGTTCGTTTCCATGTATCCATCTCCATCCATGTCCGTGCACAGCATGCTCATGCTCGGCACACATGCTCACTCATGGGCCACAACGCTCCGCCGCATGCCGCCGGCTCAGTCGCAACTCGCGCGCCGCCCGTTTGCCGCGCCGACGACGCCCTGCTCGGCCATCCGCTCAGCCGCTGCCCGGTGCATCGCCCGCCTGTGGAGGCCGGTGACACTCTCACACCCCATTCACGCCCTCATTCACATGCCCTGTTCACGTGCCCATGCACGCCATGTACACCCTACTCCCACCACTCACACCCTACTCCCACGCTGTTCCGACCCCACTCCCACGCTACTCTCACCTCACTCCCACCCCACTCCCACGTGCAACCCACAGAGCTGGATGGGCTTGAGTGACGGCGCGGGGATGGCCCGCCAGCAGCCCGGCGAGGTATTCGAGCTGCAGGAGATGTCGACCTGCAAGTCATCTCGGGGACCAAATCGAAGTTCGCGCGCTCAGGTGCTTCATACCCGTCCGTTTCTGGATACTTGGACGATCCACACGTCGTAACGCCGCGGCCACGGCGTGGATCGTCCCGTTTGAGGTCGCCCACGGACGCTCCATGTCGTAGCCGCGGCGTCGACGCCGCGGCCACGGCGTGGATCGTCCGTTTCCGCATTCTTGGACGATCCACACGTCGTAGCTGGATGTCGCGGCCACGGCGTGGATCGTCCCGATTAAGGTCACCCGCGGACGCTCCGCGTCGTCGCCGCGGCGTCGCCGCGACTCCTGGCTTCCCGCTCCGGACTTTTGCCGGCGCGCGTTGCGATTTCGTCCGCTCGCAGCGGCAGACTCGCCGCGAGGACTTCAGGCGGCGGCGCGGCAGACTCCAGCGCCCCGGGCAGCACGCGGAACGGCAAGTCGAGCGCCGCCTCGGCTTTCGCGAGCGCGCCTGCCGCCGAGACGGGCGCGCCGGCTCGACCGCACACCGCGTCGCCGCCCAGTGCAGCGTCACCGCCGCGCTAGGCGCGGTGTCGAGTTCCGCCGCCGCCAGGGAGAACGCCTCGTCGAGGTCCGCCGAAACGGGGGCGAGGGCTCCGGGTTCCTGCGCCAGCGACGCCACCACCCGTAGCGCCTCCCGTCGCTCCGCCGCGAACGCCTCCGCGCCGCCCGGCTCCGCGAGCAGCCTGACGCAGCGCCGGAAGCGCTCGTCGGCGAGCACGCGCCCTCGCGCCGCCCTCGCGCCGCCGCCGCAGCATCTGCGGTACAGCTTCTGGAGGAGGGCGGTGAGGGCTTTCCGGCGCTACCTTGGCCACGTGCAACGGCTGGCGCTCCCAGTCGATCGTCTCTTCCCGCCAGCGGGAGGAGCGCCGAGGCGCGCAGGGTCGTCCTCGGAGGCCGCCTCGGCGACCAATCGGTTCACGTCGCGGCTCGTGAGCGCTCGCGGCGAATCGTCGTCTCCCGAGGCCTTGGCCGCCGCGAGGGTCAGCCGGCGAGTGTGCGCTTGAGGACGGCGGGCCGCCTCGTTGCGGCGCCCCGGGCCGCTCGGCGAGAGCGCGCCCGTCGCAGCAGCAAATACCGTGTGAGTGCTGTGGCAAGACGCATGCTCGTCGACAGGCGCGCGATCAGGCGGTGCGGGTCGGCGGCGGCGCTCAGCGCCTGGGCAACAGAGTGTAGGCTCGACGGAGCGCGTGCGTCGCAGAACAGTGACGCGGACGTGCGCTGCGCCTACGCTCTCCTTGCGGACACGGTTTGCGGCAGCGCGCAGCGGTCGAGCCACGGCCGCTGCGCCGCGTGAATTTGACACAACTTTTTCATCGCAAGGCATTGCCTGATATCACATTTTTAGTTTATTGAACGCATCAGCACACACGAAAGAGTACTCGCCGCGCATCGCGGTCGATGGCTAGGAAGCGCTGAGCCTGTGGGGTACACGTCCCCACTTCAGATTCGCTGCCAGATCATCGATCGCCAGGCAGGGAGCGAGGGAGCCGCTGGGAGGGAGGGGGCGGCCAGACCGCGGAGGGAGGGGGCGGTCAGACCGCTCATCCACTTGTGACGGTGCCTATACGCACACGCGAGGAGCAGCACAAGGAAGAGCGCGGCCAACACGCCCCCGACCACGGCGCCGGTGGGGAACGGGTCGCCGGAACTGTGCTCCACGGGCAAGACTGGAGGCTTCGGAGGCCGCGGCGGTGGCGCGGGCGCCCCGGCGGGTGGGTAGGGAGGCGGGTGAGGCGGCGGCGGCTGCGCAGGCGGCTTGGTAGGCAATGGCGAAGGCGGCGGCAGCGAGGGTGGCAAGGGCGAGGGCGCCATGTTGGGCGGGAAGGGCGGCGTCGGGGGCGGTGACGGCGGCGGCAACGGTAGCGGTTTCGACGGCTGGGGCGGAGGTGGCGGCAGGAGAGGACTTGTCGGGGGAGGGAGGGACGGCTTGCGTGCGGGCGCTGAGCCTAGGCCACTGCGTGAGTGGCGGAGGAAGCGGTACAGCGACCTTACACAGCTGGTTGCAAGTCTGAACACAGGCCGGTGTGCTTTGACAAGCCAGCAGGCACGCGCTGAGACAAGCACTTGCTGCAGGAGGTGAAGGGGGCGCCGATGGCGGAGGCAGCGACGGCAGCGGTGATACCAACGGTGGTGGGGCTGAAGGCGGTACAGGGGACGGTGTAGGTGGCGCTGACGGCAGAGGAGGCGACGGCGGTGACGCGACATCGACCTTACACAGCTGGTTGCAAGTCTGAACACAGGCCGGTGTGCTTTGACAAGCCAGCAGGCACGCGCTGAGACAAGCACTTGCTGCAGGAGGTGAAGGGGGCGCCGATGGCGGAGGCAGCGACGGCAGCGGTGATACCAACGGTGGTGGGGCTGAAGGCGGTACAGGGGACGGTGTAGGTGGCGCTGACGGCAGAGGAGGCGACGGCGGTGACGCGACATCGACCTTACACAGCTGGTTGCAAGTCTGAACACAGGCCGGTGTGCTTCGACAATAGAGCAGGCACGCGCTGACACAAGCACTTGCTGCAGGAGGTGAAGGGGGCGCCGATGGCGGAGGCAGCGATGGCAGAGCTGACAGCGATAGTGGCGATGCCGGTTGTGGCGATGGCGGTAGGCTCGTAGTCGGAGGGGACGATGCGGGCGGCGCGCTCGGCGGCACAACCGCGAGGCTGGTGGAGCGCGGGTAGAACTTTGAGAGGGCCGGCGAGAAGGCGATCGGAACCCCGTCGCTCCCCTGCGGTGGCGCCTCCAAGCCGGAGATGTCCTGCAGGCGGCGGCGGCGCGTGCCGCTCCCGGCGTCGTCCCAGGTCGTGAGGATCTCGGTCACGTCGAGAAGCGCCTCGCCGCCGAGGAGAATGCGGCCGCCGACGCGGAGGCCGCAGCTGAGGTGCCCGACCCACAGAGTGGTGTCGCCAACGGCGGCATCGCGCGTGAGCACCATCGGGTCGGATTTGCAGGGCGGGGGATCGGGCAGAGGCGACGGCGGCGCGACGGCAGGTGGCGGTGTGACGGATACCCCGCACCTCTCGCTGCAGCTCTGAAGGCATGCCGCTGTGCCTTGGCGGCACGCCGGGTCGGCACGGTACCGCAGACATGCGCTGAGACACAAAACTGCGGCTGGAGGCGCATCCGGTGGCGCGGGCGGTGGGTCGGGCAGTGTGTCCTGCGGTGTCGGGGGCGGCGGCAGTGGCGGCGGCAGTGGCAAGGGCGGCGGCGGTGAGGGTGGGGGCGGTGGTGGCGAGGGTGACGGCGGTGGCGACGGAGGTGGTGGCGGAGCCTGCGGTGCATCCTCAGGCGTGCGAGGCGGGGCATTGGGCGGCGGTGGGCTCGGAGGCGGAGGCGGCGACGGCGGCGGCGGGCTCGGAGGCGGAAGCAGCGTGGCCGGGGGGGGCAAGGGTGGTGGCGGCGGCGAGGCGGTTGGCGTTTTCGACGGCTGGACGGCAGGTGGTGGCGCTGATGGCGACGGCATCGGTGCAAGTAGTTGCGGTGGCAACGGCGGCGTGGTGCCTGCCGCGCACATCTCGACGGCGCTGCGCCGAACGGCGCTGTGGGGCGACCCGAGGACAGGCTCAAAGGAGAAGCCGGCGCCGTTGGCGCCATACGGGAAGGTTGAGAGACCGAGAAATGCCTGGATCTGAGCCGTGTCGACGGCACCGTTCATGCGCACTTCGACGGCCACCGCGGCGAAGACGGCAAGCTCGGCCTCGCTTCCGGCCGGCTGCTCCAGCTGGGCGACGTACGACGAGGTCGAGGCGTCATACTCCGCGCGGATGAGCATGCCCTCCTGCGGGCCGCTGGCGCGCTGGTAGCCGGTGAAGCTAACAGTCGGTACCGAGGTGCCCATGCTGTACAGGCCATGCGGGTTGGAGTACGCCGAGAGCACACTTCCCCGCGTCACCTGTATTGCTGGCAAAGCGGCGGCCGCGTCTTCGGACGCCAAGGGGCTCACAACTACTCGCACCTCAAAGTAGACGTCTGTCCCGACGGCGGGAGTCTGCGTCTCGCTCGGCACGCGCGCGGTGTCTTGACCGACGCCGCCCCAGGCCGCGGCGCGGAGTAGCACATTCGACCCCGGAGCTGCGGTCGAATCCACCCCGCACTGGGCCGACGGTTCGAGGAAGCGGTTGATATACTGGGTCGCGCGGCTGAGGTGGATGACGTCCTGCGAGTTGATGTTTGGCTGGCGGTACCGTGGGTCGGCTGGGTCGTCGCCGCCAAAGGCGCCGCCCAGCAGGTCGAGGGTGGGGTTGAGCTGCTGCTTGACCCAGTCGCAGCTGTACCCGCGCCCGTTGCTCCAGCCAGCGAGCGGGTTGGCGCCACTTGTGCCGGTGGCGAACGTGCTGTATGCCGTGGCGAACGTCTGTGCCTCGGTGACGTCGTTGACATTGAAGGCGCAATCTCCGCTTACGTCGCCAAAGATGCGCGCGGTGCAGGGGTCGCAGCCCGCGCCGGCCACCGCCGCTGGCTGCAAGCGGCGGGCGGGCGGTCTCAGTGACGACTCCCACGCCAGCTGGCTGTTCCGCAGACGGCGGCGCGTGGGCACGCCGACGAAGACCCGCGATAGAGCGGCGGCGGCCTGCAGGCTGCCCGTCGTGGTGCGAAGGTTGCCCGCGGCGCCGTCCTTGGCGCGCGTGTCGGATTGCAGCGAGACGATCTCGACCGTGACCTCGCCCGACAAGAGCCCGGTGCCCGAGACTGGGATGGTGAAGTGGCCGAGACGGACCGTGTTCGGCGCGGGGACCGTCGAGGGATGGGATGCGGTGAGCCCCATCACCTGAGTCGACTGTACGTTGAAGCTTGCAGAGTTCAGGTAGCCGGTGGCGCCATTGTCCGTCCACTCGCCGCCCTCCGCGCTCAGCCCCTCGGGAAGCTCGACCTTGATCTGGACGGCGCGAAGGTACTGGCCCGCCTTTGGGCGAGCCCAGACGTGGATGACCATCCTCGGGCCTGAAGCGAAGTAGTAGGGCGCCCGATCATTATCGGAACTTGTGCCCATGTCGACGTCCTCCTCTGCAGGCAAGAGGTTTGCCCAGATGCGCCTGTTCCATACGTCGCTGGCGCAGGCGATCCGGGCGCTGAGCCCAACCTTCTGATGGTGGTTGGCGCGCAGCGTCAGCGTGCCGGCCGTACTGATGGACACGTAGTCGGGGTGGCTCGACTCGAACGAGAGCAGCTCCGAAGGCGCGAACCAGGCAGAGGGGAGCGCGTTGATGGAGTCGTACTGGAAGCGGGCGCCGCCGCCATCGCTGTAGCCGAGATCGAAGCGCGACCGCTTCGTGCCACCCC